GATGAATATATTTCCCTTATTATTTTGAATTCTCTTTGTAAGGGGTGAGCAGAGCTTATCTATTTTTTTTTCCTTACTCAGTGATTACCCTTCATGGACTTATATAAGGCCTAGTACAGGGTACCACATATGATGGGTAAATGTGGTTAACACATAATTTGTTGACTGACTGAATGAATGAATACATTTTCATTCTTTTCTTTGTTCTTTAGTTCACTCATTCATCTTTCTTTGTGGTACTGAGGATTAAACCAGGGATATTCTACCTCTGGATACATCTCTAGCCCTTTTAATTTTTTGAGACAGGGTCTCAATGTGTTTCTGAGACTGGCCTTGAACTTGTAATCCTCCTGCCTCAGCCTCTCTGGTGGCTGGGATTACAAGCCTGTGCTGTTGTGCTTGGCTTTCATTCATCTTTTGAAGTAACATCTTGAAAGCAGGTTCAATTCACAAACAAAATATCCTATAGTATTCTTTGTATGGACCATTGCTCTCCACTGGAATATTTCTTAGCTTTTTTAAAAATATATATTAAAGGGTAAAATGGAAGGTTAAGAGTTAGAAGCGCATTTGATCTTTTCCTGACCCTCTCCTGACTTTTGTGTGACCTCAAGCATGTCACTTGAACCTCTCAGTGACCCCAGCTGTGAAGCAGGGCTGCCTGGTGTCACAGAGGGATTGTGAAGAGCAGCAAATCACAGTCCTTGTCCACACAGAATCACCTGCAGGGCTCGGAGGCCTGCATAGAATGATGGGAGAGATTTGATTTCCCAAGTCAAGTGGTCATTCGGACCCACACTTTGGATGTCTCTGGGAACAATCAGATGGGAATCCTTGAAAATGTGTTACTTTTCTATTCCTATTCAGCGTTTCCAATGTTTATGTCTTTTTTTAAATGTTCTTGTTTTTAGGCAAAAAGGCTCATTGTAGTGTTTCCTTTTTCAGACTTAAAGGTGGGAAGAGATCATATATTTTAAAAGAAGCTGAGATTGGAGAAGAATAAAAGTACCTTAAATTTTTATTTTATACTATGGAATTTAGATAATTTTCTGCCTCAAAGAGTACATCTTGAAAATTATGCTAATCATATTTTAAAGATAACTATTTGATAATGACCCATGTAACGTATGAAATGTGGTTTTAACTAGCTTTTTGTTTGTTTGGTATAGGTAGGCAAGACAATTGCAAGCAAATAAGTAGAGCAGAAAACAAATAAAAATACTGTTAGCCATCTTACAAACAGAACCTTTTTATACCATTAATTGTGTTCTATAAAATCTTTCAAATAGTAACGCTTAGAGGATTTAATTGATTTCCCAGTATTGTTTGTTTTCTAATTGGGAAAAAATCCATCTAACAGGAAATTTCTTAGCATTGTACATAGCATGTGCTGATTATCATTCTTTGACTGCTTTGGGTTTCTGCTGCTTTTAAACTAGCATTTAAATGGACCATTTGATTAATCATTTGTATACTGACTGTAATCCTCCCAAATTTCCTTTCTGAGTTGTACATACTGTAAAAGACAATTATGTCTCCACAGATTAAATAAGTGAATTAAAACAGAATAGCAGCTTAATTTGACCTGTGATTTTGCTCTCCTTCCCTTTAGTGGAGCGTGTGCCACTCCAGCAAATAAATGAAGTCATCCATGACAGCTCGTGATGAATTGCCGTATTTATACTGTATATTTTAATAGCCTCACACTAATTTAAATTGAACACAGAGTAAATTATAATTCAGTCACTTGACTGCTTGTATTTAACTTGACAACTCATCCCTATTTGTCCTGGAGGTGTAGTGGAGAGCTGTGGAAAAGCACTCAGGTATTTCAGTTCCCCACTTAACCCTTTCTCCATGAAATGCTTCATATTTTAGATTCTCTCCAGTTCAAAACATTTTAGTGCTTCTTAAGGAAAAAAAAAACCAAAAAATAAATAAATAAAAGCAATGAAGACTTGGCAGTCCAGACTTTCTTTGGATTTCAAAAAGAAAATTAGCATTTGCTTTACTTTACCCCTGTTGCTTTCAAAGAATGAATTAGTCTCTCTCTCTCTCTCTCTTTTTTTTTTTTTTTTAAGCAGCTTTAAAGCTCACTCACAAGAATGCCCAGGGGAAGGGGAATTAACCTTCCACCCAGAGTGCCAGGTCTCCCAGAAAATAGAGAGCATTTGAGTAGAGTTATTTTAAGGTAGATTACTTTCCCTCTCAAGTTCCTAGAAATTACTTTATTCGCTTTTCCACCATTATGGAATCTCCACTCTTCTGGATTAGAGCAAATACCAAGAATGATCAAGACCAATTAGAGCATAATGGATTAGCTCCACAAATATAGTATTCCTTTCTCCATTTTAGATCAGTGTAGCACTTTTATTTTAGTGTTTATGTCTTTGTTTTCAAATTTAGGTGTAGAAATCAAGCAATCTATTTTCTTCGTGTCTGGAAATAGCTTTTATAGAGGATCATGGTTGTATGGAGCACTTTAATTAAATCCCACATCACTTAATGGGTACTTCTGTGAAGAAGGCCTTGTACTGGGAGCTGAGGGGAGAGAAGTGCACCTCAGTCCTTGCCCTTGGAGGGTTTATGACCACTCTACAACCTCAAGGCTGCTTTGATTTCAGAAGATGAGCGCTGAGGGCTAAAGCAGAATGTGAGAAGGAGAAACAGGATCAGAGTTAGAGAAGAAATCCGATGGAGGGCTTTGGAGTGGCTTCATGGAAGTGGTGAAGTGTTCAAGCTGAGACTGAGAGGTCAATTAGGTTTTTATAATTGTTGACTATGGAGTGGAAAGAGGAAGCACACAGGGAAAGGAGGAAGGGAAAAAAAATACCAGGCATGTGTGGATGATGAAAATCCATCAGGTTCCCACAAGGAGTGGGTTTGTGCTGGGAGTAGTGGAAGAAGGGGTTAGTATGGAAGAATTTCTGAAATGTCATGCTAGATTTTAGCTTTGTTCTTAACTGGTGGACACAATATCTTTATTTTACATTTATGTGGTGCAGAGGATCAAACCAGTGCCCCATGCATGATAGGCAAGTGCTTTTCCATTGAGCCACAACCCCAGCCTTGTTCTTAATTGGGATCAAGAACCCAACTAAGGGGGCTGAGGTTGTGGCTCAGCAGTAGAGCACTCACCTAGCACCTGCGAGGCCCTGGGTTCAATCCTCAACACCACATAAAAAATAAATAATAAAATAAAGATGTTGTGTACAACTACAACTAAAAAAAATATTTTAAAAAAAAAAGGAACCCTACTAAGGCTCTTGATCAAAGGAATGATATTGTCTCCTTAGTTTTGAGCTAATTTCAAGGTATTGGAGAGCCACGTGGAATCCTCTCATCTCCGGGTTGATGGCCCAGGGATGCAGTACATCCTTACGCTCATATTTCTTAGCACTGCATAAATGGCATTTTTGAAACCTTAAAGAAGTGTTTCTTAACCTTATTGTGGGTTAGAAATCAGCTAGGAGCTTTTTATAAATACAAAGATGAGGCCCGACCTATTGTTCTGGGATGAGGTCTGTGCATTGGGAATTTTTAAAAGTACCCTAGGTAATTATAACGTAAAGCCAGGGTCAATAATAACTACATTCCTTTTAGCTGAGTTTTTCAGGATAAAAGATGCCCTGTATTTGACAAGTGGTATTTTATGGCATAGAATTGAAACAACACTAGATGAATTTATTTTGTTGCTAAATTTTAGATTAGAACAAAAATGTAAGCGAATATTGTTGGCAAATGACTATTGATCGAGAGAAGTGTTTAAATGTGTCTTGGCAGTTTTGTATTACACTTACAATCTAGTTTAGTGAAAGCTTTTATAAATAACCCTAAAGCAAACTCTTGATAGAAACTGGAGATGCCTCCTTTTTTTTTAACCTTCCCCTTCCTCAAAAGGATGTCACTACTAAAAATGTGTTTTAGAATTGCCCTTTTCTTTCTTTGCTCAGTCAGCAGTTTAAAAGTCTTAATTTATGTTTTTCCCCGGTATGATTATATATATTCATTTGTTATATAAAATGTAATTCAGTTTTGAATGGTGTTTAACTACATTATCATGATAATATGGACTGCTGTTTTTACCTACAAATGTCTAGAGTGAGAAACTACCACAATTCTTAAAACTTGTCTTTACCTGTTTTATTTCATCATTGTCATTTTAAGTAAAAAACAGTTTATCTTGAGTTGATTTTACTGAAGTGCTGAGTAAATTTTGAACAGTTGATTGTTTTCTTCCTTTAAAAGTAAACATTTGAAACAAACTAGAATCTGTCCTATGTAAGTTCATAGATTTTTTTCTACATTTCTGTGTTACAAGACCAACTCAGTGGTTGATATTGTTAGGAAAACCATGAAGTAACAGGAAGTCCCGGGAAGCACAGGAGAACAGAAGTTAGGGGTCCCAGCACTGCCCAACAGCAAGGCTCCCTGAAGAGAAGCCTTGGTTTCCTCCTCTGTAAAAGAAGGAAATCGGGTGAAATGAAGTTCCTTCAAGCTCTTTCTCTAATAATATTTGTTTACAAAAAAAAAATCTAATACCTGGGAGAAAATTTTAAAAAGACATATTTTAAAAACTTCTATTCATAACTAAAACCCTCATTTTAAATGTTATTTTTATTTAGCATTCTGTTGCCTAGAATCTGAATTACATGACAATTCTTTTTTAATGGTTTGGGAGTCATTTGTATCTTCCTGTGAAAATAACCAATGTGGCCAAAATAGGGTGCATAAATTAAAAGTGCTATGACTTAACTGACTTTTAATGCCATTAATGCTGACCTTTGAGACCTGGCTTTTTCCTTGGTCCCATCAATCACTTCTGTACCACTTCTCCCAATACAAAGGCTTAAACAGATGTGTATACAGTGGGAGGGCTGAGGGGAATGAATAAAGGAAACACCATTAAAAAAAAATTCTTACGTTTCAAAATGATTATAATTATATTCAATTTGAAGGTGGGGATAAATGTGTTAATGTTAATACCTTTCTATATTTAGGTAATACTACTAGATATTACGCTGGAACTTCAGAAGCAAATTATGTCTGAATTAGAAATTCTTTATAAGGTAATTTTTTTTCCTGGTCATTTTTACTTACAAAACATACCTTATGGTGTTGGCTTGTAGGTTTTTCAACTTCTTTTTTGTCTTATTTTTGTTGCAGTGTGATTCATCATATATCATAGGATTTTATGGGGCATTTTTTGTAGAAAACAGGATTTCAATATGTACTGAATTTATGGATGGTAAGTATTTTCCCTTGTACAATATTTTAAAAATTACTTTAGGAGTAGAGTTTTATCATTAAATCCATTATTATTTAAATCCATTAGCCTCCTTCCCTCCAGTGCCTGGCAACCTAATTTTACTGCCTTGACAACTTTACCTATTCTGGGTGTTTTTACATAATGGAGTCCTACAATATATGGTCTTTGTATCTGGACTTTTTTCAGTTAATATAATGTTTTCAGAGTTTATGCACATTGAAGTTTTTACAATCTGATTTTGATACAGATGTCAAGAACAACTTAAGGTGATTAAAATATACTAATAATTCCATTCTTCATACTCTGAAAGCATCTTAGTGTTAGAGGTTCCTGGTGTTAAATATTTATGGCTGAGTTATAATTTTAAGAATGTAACTTCATTTACTTTTATTGAAAATTTAAATAGAATAGATTAAATGCTAGTCTAATCAGTGGTTTGATATTTGATTCTTCTATGCAATCTGTCTTTACTTGCAAAACAGATGTTCTGTTCTTTTAATGTTTCAATAGCCAAAACAGATTTTCTTTTAAAGAAATCTATTAACCCAATGTCCTGTGTCTTTCAGAAAGAAATGGGTTCTTAATTGCAAGATAAGAAATTGTTTTTCAACACAGCTGTTTAGTCAGATGTGTTTGGTTTTATTTGGACTTTAGCCCTTTCCTTTCTTCTGTATTTTTTTAATCATTTCTATTTTTGTAGCTTTCCTAATCTGAAAATTGTGACAAAATGAAGGTTTCCGAGTATCCTAAACAATGAAATGAAGTCATCATTATTGTTGTTTATTCACTTTAAATCCAAGCAGTCTTTAAATTTCACATGTTCAGTCTTTTCCATGTCTAGCCACTAAAACGCAATATTTTAAATAAAGATGTACTTAGCTCCTTGTGGGAGTTCTCAATACATTACTAAACCAGGTAGTTCATGCCCCTATGCAAGACTTTTAATGAGTCAACACTGATACCTTGATATACTACAATAACTGTATAATGTGTGCTAAATTAGTTCTAGTAGATGTCAAGAATTTAAAATCTTACTAAAATATAGAAGTATGACAGTTGTGGAGATCAACTAGTAAAAGAGGATTCATATGCCAATATAGGTTACTGTTTAAATTTTCATCATTCTTTCTTTGAAGTCTTCAGTTATTCAGTTATATTAAAACATTTTAATTAACATGTAATTCAAATATCATAAAACATTCACTCTTTTAAAGTATATAATTTTAGTGGTCTTTAGTATGTTGCTAAGGTTATGCAACCATCATCACTATCTAATTTCAAAACACTTTTTAAGTATTCCCAGAAAGAAAATCCCTACCCTTTATAAGTCCCTCATTAGCCTCCTTCCCTCTAGTGCCTGTCAACCTGATTTTACTGCCTTGACAACTTTACCTATTCGGGAAGTTTTCACATAATGGAGTCCTACAATATATGGTCTTTGCATCTGGACTTCTTTCAGTTAATATAATGTTTTCAGAGTTCATACACATTGAAACATGTACCAGTATTTCATTTCTTTTTCATTGAATAATATTTTATTGCATGGCTATACAGCATTTTGTTTATTGTTTTATGAATTGATGGTCATTTGGAATATTTTCACTTTTGCCTAATAATGGATACTACTACTGTATATTTGTATATAGGTTGTTTTGTGTATGTATATTGATTCAGTTCTCTTGAATTTATATCCTGGTGTAGAATTGCTAGGTTATATGATAAGCCTCTTCAAAGTTTTGAGGAACTGTCAAATTGTTTTGTTCCATTTATACTAGTTTATATCCACACCAACAATGTATGAAGATTCTAATTTCTCTGTGTCATTGCCAACTTGTTGCTTTAGATGTCCTATTTAAGAAGCCTTTGTATAATCCCACATCACAAAAATTTATACCTATTTTCTTCTAACTCATTTTATAATTTTAGCTTTTATATTTATGGTTTTGGTCCACTTTTGAGTTAACTTTTACATACAGTGTGAGATAGGAGTCCAAACTCATTCCTTTGCCTGTCAATATCCATTTATATTAGTACATTTGTTGAAAAGACTATTTTCCCCTTTAATTTTCATGCCAACCTAGTTGAAAATTAATTGACTCATAAAATGTATTTCTGTACTTTCAGTTCTGTTCCATTGATCTTTTTGTCTGTCTTTATGCTAGTACCACATTCAATCTAGAGTGCTTGATTACTCTAGATTGTTATTGTTTTATAATAAGTATTGAAATTGAGAAGTATAAATTCATATGAATTTTAGAACCATCATTCATTTCTCTAAAAAAGCCATCTGAGATTTTGGTGGGGATTGTACTGAATTTGTAGATCAATTTGTGCAGTATTATTGTGTTAAAAATATAAAGTGTTCCATTCCATGAATATAAAATGTCTTTCCACTTATTTGGATCTCAATTTTTTCAGTAATATATATTAATATTGAGTGTAAAGTTTTGCAATTATTTGTTAAATTTACTCCTAATATTTTATTTATTTTTATTTTAAAATATTTTTTATGATTATCATCACATGGCTGACTGAGAGCTGTAGCTCTCTGCTCCTGGCCAATTTTGCAAGAGTATATTTTACTGTATATTCCTTGTCTGGAAAAAGATCAAAATTATAGGTACAGTTTTTACTAAATGTGTATTATTTTGGCACCATCATTTATTTTATTTAAAAAATTTTTTTTGTTGTAGATGGACACAACACCTTTATTTTATTTATTTATTTATTTTTATTGTTGGTCGTTCAAAACATTACATAGTTCTTAATATATCATATTTCACAGTTTGATTCAAGTGGGTTATGAACTCCCAATTTTACCCAATATACAGATTGCTGTATCACATCAGTTACCCTTCCATTGATTTACATATTGCCGTTCTAGTGACTGATATATTCTGCTGTCTATCCTATTCTCTACTATCCCCCCTCCTCTCCCCTCCCCTCCCCTTTTATATTTATTTATTTTTATGTGGGCTGAGGATTGAACCCAGTGCCTCACACATACCAGTCAAGAGCTCTACCACTGAGCCACAACCCCAGCCTCCTAATATTTTTTTTTTAAATGATACTGTAACTTGAATTATTTTCTTAATTTTACTTTTGGAGTGTTCATTGCTAGTGTATAGAAATATAATTGGTTTTTGTTTATTGTTATTGGTCTTGTATCCTGTAACTTTGCTGAACTTGTTTATCAATTTTAGTATTAGTTTTTTTTGTGTGTGTGTGTGTGTGTGTGTGTCTTTCTTAAGAGTTTTCTATATACATAGCATACCATCTGAAAGTAGAGGAAGTTTTACTTCTTTCTTCCTTTTCAATCTAGAGGCTTTTTATTTTACTTACTTTTCTTGCTTAATTACTCTGGCTAGAATAGAAATAATGAGAGCAGACATCCTTTTTCTTGCACCTGATTTTGGAGGGAAAGCCTTCAGTCATTCTCTGGGAAGCATGATATTTACTGTGGGGTTTTAGTAGTTATACTTTATCAGTTTGAGAAAATTCCCTCCTATTTCTATTTTGTTGAGTGTTTTTTTTTATCATGAAAAGATATTAAATATTGTCACATTTCTCTGTCTTTTGAAATTATTATGTGGTTTTGGTCCTTTCTTCTATTAACATGGCATATTATGTTAATTGATTTGCTCATGATAAATCAACATTGGGATCCTGGCAATATTCTATGTGGTTATGATATACATTCTTTTCATATATTTCTAATTTCAGTTTGTTAATATTTTATTGATGATAAATTATACAGATGTATGTGTGTGTGTGTGTGTGTGTGTGTGTGTGTGTGTGTATGAGATGTTGAGATTAAACCCAGAGTTTTGTACATGTTAACCACATACATTGTTGAGGATATTTACATCCTTGTTCAAAAGGGATATTGATCTATAGTTTTCTTATAATGTCATTGTTCAGTTTTTATATTAGAATAACACTTCAATTAAGTTATCTAATTTGTCAGTGTACAGTTGTTTCTAATATTCCCCTATAGTACTTTTTATTTCTGGAAAATTGGTAGTCATGTTCTCTTCTTTATTCCAAATTGTTGTAGGTTGAAGTAATTTGAGTCTTCTCTCTTCTTGGTCAGTGTTACCAAAATATTCTCAGTTTCTTTTTCAAGGAACACATTTTGGCTTTATTGACATGCTCTAGTCCTTTTTTCTGTTTTGTTAGATCATGCTATTCTTTTTGTTTTCTTTTTCAGTAGAAAGTTAAGATATTGCATTTAAATCTTTCTTACAAACAAAAGCATTTATAGCTATAAATTTTCCTCTAAGCACTACTTTAACTGCATTCTAGAAATTTTGGTATTTTGTATTTCTGATTGCCTTAGGGATTATAATTAACATTTTATAACAATTCAGTTCAGATTATTATCAACTCCATTTCAATGGTATAGATGTTCTTCATCTTATGATAAGTTTACGCCCCATCATAAATTGAAAATATCATAAAAAGGCATTTCATAAACATAATATACTGAATGTTGTAACTTAACAACATGGTAAATGTATCAATTGTGTGCCCTCATGATCATGTGGCTGACTAGGAGCTGTAGCTCTCTGCTTTTGCCCAATTTAGCAAGAGCATATTTTACTACATATTCCTTATCTGGAAAAAGATCAAAATTACAGGTACAGTTTTGCTAAATGTGTATTATTTTTGCACCATCATAAAGCTAAAATATTGAAAGGTGAACAATTATAAATCAGGGGCAATCTCTATACAAAAATTTTGATCCTATAGAGTTCAATTTCTTTCCCTCTCTTTTGTGCTGTTATTGCTTTATAAATTACATTCTTATTCATTGTGTGTCTCACACAGATTTATAATTATTGCTTTATGATTTTGTCTTTTTAATCTGGTAGGAGGAAAAATGATAGAAGCAAAAAAATACATTTATCTTTTGTACTTACCTATTTAGACCTATATAAATATTCATTATTTCTTCATATGAATTTGGTTATTATCTT